GAAAGGTTACATGTTTAGATAAAGTTCCCGTAATTTACATTTAAAGGAAAATCTACTCGTGGCGGTTTTGATATGAAGGGGTAAGTAGTTCCAAATTTTGATTGCCTGAATGGCAAAAGAATAATGGACGAAACCAGACAAATGAGCCGAGATATAAAGTAATAATTTTCTAGTATTGCGAAAAGAGAGATCGGTGCTGTCCCCATGGAAATGTTTACTGCTAATGTATTTATCACCGTCGTTTCTAGAGGGAACCACGTAGAGGTCAACCTGACATGGTACATTGCAAGCAATGGGCCAGTTGGTCCTCACAATTCCCTTCCCCCCAATAGTAGAGATACCCTTACCAAGGCGACTTCTAAGTCTACAGCGTTTATATAGCATTGACAGCAATCCAGTTTGCAGCGTTCATGATGGTAAGTGATTACCAGCGTCCATGACATCTATAAGCTGATGTACACTATTAATATGAAGTATTAGGTTGTAGGTATATATGTACTACTGGTACGCATGATGCTGACGGCGCGCGTGGTCACGAAACTTACATATAGGCGTTAATATGATCATACTGTTAGCATTATGTACGCTGTTCTCCAGACACGCAACCTGTTGACACGGACACACTAAATGTATTGTCCTCAAACACGATCAAATAATAAAAACGGTCAAACGCGAGATAGTAACGAACGCAGAGGGTTCTTGACAAAACTTTTTATTTCGGAAGCAATTTTCTTTCCTTTGTGTCTCCATTTTTACTGGATGAATATGGAATGATGCATCAACGGCCCAGATGAGATGCTAAATGCGGATAATAGTGTCCAATTTATATTACATTATAATGCATGAAATGACAATATGCCTGCGCTGACAATATATATTGGCATGACACCAGTAGAGGATAAAAGAATTAACAAAAAGTCGGTAGAAGGTAATCCTTACGTAGCATATAATAAACATTAGTAAGAAGACCTCTTCTTACATTAATCTTTTTAAATATTTGTCTATTTTATTGTATCCTATATATAGGATACATATAACTAATTATAAAGTTATGATTCTCTATTGGCGTATTTTCTTTGGTTTTCAGGACTCAATAGATTTCTGCGTAAGTTAGAGAAATTTCGTTTACAGTATTCGGCTAAAGAACCCTAATGCTGTTGCAAACCTATATAATTTAATATAACAAAGAATGTCGACTAACAATAGACAAAATAATACATATTTAAACTACTTATGTACATTGAAATATTTGTTTTATTAAAAACTAGCCGATGCACGCCACTTCGACTGCAGACATTCATACGGTCTATTTTTACTATAAATTTAATATCTCTTAGTTAAATATTATAAATTTCCCATAACATTTTCATCCCCTATTTCATCCCTAGTTAAATTTAATTTAGAGAACAAAAAGTAGCCACAAATAAATGACATAAATACCAAAATACGAAAACTAAAAAGAACTAGTAGACTAGAAGACTACAATAATAACATTTTAATATTTTTCAAGAAATCACATAGCAAAATATTATAAAGTTCATCTTCAAATATTGCATGTACTATGGAAACAGACTTGTTCGATAGCTTCGCCATCCTACTCATCCAATATCTAGATCTAGATGAACTTGGCCAGTACCTATATCGAAATTCGTGCATTCCCATAAATTATATGCGAATTCGATATTTTAGTTACTAAAGAAACTATTTGTTTATTCTTGCGAATTTTGTGTATAAATATAATATATATAATATGTAATAAATATTAAACAATAAAAAAATGAACAATTAAGTATCTTCTCATTCTTCCTGTTCCGAGTCTGCTCTCCGATTCAGTGATAGAAAAAAAACACTATATTCCAAAGAGCTTGAATACAAACTTGTATTCCTATTTCCAATCATTTATTTCCACCCAGATATTTTGTGCTACAGTTAACATAGACAAATAGTTATTATTGTATCAAATATCATATAAATCTATTATTAAATTAATCAAAAACTAATAGCAATGAACAATGAAAAATAATAATAAGTAGCTACTAGACTTACCTACCCGGTAAGTCTAGTCAGGTAAGGATCTGTACACTGTTCTTACGTATTAAGTTATTGTAAAACAAAGTTATTGTAAGACAAAAACTATATATACAGTTATGTTATAATTGAAATATTTTTTATTGCAATAACCTTAATATAAACACTTTTGAATTGTCATATTTATCTGAATTAAGTTAGATTTTTTCTAATAAAACATTATTTACACTTTTCCTAAGAAGTGTTTTATTTTACGGGGACAAAACTATATATATATAGTTATGTCATAATTGAAATATATTTTATTCCAATGAACTTAATTGAATGAATTGTTATGTTTTTCTGAATTAAGTTAGATTTTTTTCTAATAAAACATTATTATCACTTATAAACTCTTCAAATTTAATAAAAAACACTTTCCAAAGAAAGTGTTTTATAAGACATTTGAATCGTTATTCTGGTTTAATAAAAAACATTCATCTCTAGATGTTGGGTGTACTGTGTGAATCAGCGACCTGTCCGAAGGCTATGACATCTCACTCGTCTGGTTATATAATGCAGACAAACTCGGACAGTTTGGCGAAATTCCTGCACCGTAACGAATCGTGAATCGTTTAAAAATCGAGATCTTCCACTATTTTGAATGGCCGTTCTATTGTTCTACTTTTTTTTTAACTTCATTCTATAGGTACTATATTTTTTTAAGTTACTTTTCACTTAGCGGGAAAGGCAAAGGCGTTGTGTATTAAAAATGCTTTTCCTATAAACCCGATGATTTTGTTTACCGAGCGAAAAATAAGCGTAATAATAAGGGGAAAATAATAAACTTGAAATATCTGTTTGTAATATCAAATTAACAGCTTTTCGGTAAATGCATTTGAAAGTATGTAAGATAATTTAATAAAAAAAATAATTCAATAAAATTCGTCTCTCTGACTGTCTCTTTATTATCTCCGAAATGGCTAGAACGATTTTGACGGGACTTTCACTCGCAGATAGCTAATATTATAAGAAGCTACTTATGCTCTTTTTATTTTAATAAAAAAAGTTTAATTCGAATCTGACGAAGTCGCGTATAACAGCTAGTAAAATAATAATTACATGACAGTAATTTGATTTATATAAAAATTCTTCATTTATAATAAATAAATGTCATCGTATGTCATCCTTATACACAGATAATAATTTAGGTCTCCTAAATCTAAATTAGGTATTTTTAATATCCATTTATTTATTCTAACTAATTCTGAATAAAAAAATTGCTATTAAAAATAATTTAGGTCAAGAAGGAAGGAAAAATAAGTACTACAAATAAATGCTTATCAACTTGTTTGCCTATTGTTCAGAACTTTAACAAGCAAAAAAATTTAAGTGTTACCTAAATGAGGAAACTAGGTTTTCCGTGTTTATGACAGTTATTTTTTATACATACACAAAAACCCTAATAAAATATAGTTTATTTTAAGAAAAATTTGTCTTCGACTGATTGCAAAATGGAACAGAAATTAAAAAAACAATATAAAACTTTAACCTCACAAAATAACATAATGAAACTTCAAAATGAAAATATGTAAACAACTATTGTATATATTATTCAACACATATTTTTTTTTAATTCTCACATCATCAACCTCGCTGTGGACATTCCATTACAGAATTTGCTATTTGCCAATTTTTAAAAAAAGCTTTTGAAACAAAACCGTTTAATCTAATTTCCTGTTACTCTTGATTTGCCTTGTAAGTATTTTATGAAAAATAAAATTCAGGCAAATTTTCTTAGACAGACCCATAATTAGGGGCTTTAGCCTTCGTTCGTTCTTAAATTTAGATATTTTTCTTTCTGGTTTCCTCATATCTTGACTACATATTTAAAATATTCAGTTCCCTTTTTTGATAGATTTTCCCATATATCAAGTATTGAGGTACCAATTAAATATCTTCAATTTTTTTTTGCGTTATCCTCATCTGCAAAATATTTAGATGAATTTAACAGATATATAATATCAAAAAAATCTATCTATTACAATACTATTGAATATATAAATAGCCTATCTAAAGCTGGCATAAATAAAAATAGGTACTGTTTCTTTATAAATGCTATTAAGGACCTGGTATGATAATCATATTATTATACAAACTGAGTGAACTCGGATCAAATAATTGATTAACTATAAGCTAGCGAGTGTTTAGAAAAGAACTTCATGAGTATATATTTTTTATTAATATTTATAAATAAACATATCTTAAATTAGATATTAAATATTAATTATTGTTTAACTGACTATTGTAATCAGAATAATAATAACCAATATTTTTATTTACAGATGAAAATATTTTACTGTTTGATAGATTCAATTTACTTATTATGGATATTAACAGAAAAGCTCATCAGAAGTAGTATGTAATGTGTGTGAATAGAAAGAGTTGAATTGAAAATATGTATTTTTGAATTATAATATATAATAATATAATTAAATTAAATTATTTATGATTTTTATATGTTTGAACAACGATGTTACTAATTGTACAATGAAAACCAATTAGATGCAATTGCTTGATAACACCTCATTGTTTTAAAAATATTTATTTTCCGAACTGGCGCAAATAAAATAAAACTTAAAGAAAAAATAGAAATTCAAAGCGAATTCACATGTAAAATAAAAATAAATTATATAAAATAAAACTGTTAAAAATTGTGCCACAATTAAAAAGGTCCTATTAGATGTTCATTCTAATAGAATAATTTCATTCCATTTCAACAAATACGATTTTTAAATAGAATTTTTTAAGGTTATGTTGGTATTATTACATTAGTTATTAGTAAATATTAAACGAAAACATACTTATGCTGCTGAAAATACTTATAAATAAATAAAGAAAATAGTATTACTGAGGTAAAACATACAAAGATATCAGTCTAAAAACAACAACAACACAATTTTTAGGTTATGCTATTAGAATATGAGACTTACCTGCATAGAATCTGCACTGATAATTTCGGTTTCAAGTTTCTGAGCTAATTCAACACTTAATTTAGTTTTGCCTGTTCCTGTTGCACCTAATATTATCACCATAGGAATTTTAGAAGAAAGCACAGTTCGAAGAGCCATATCGAAAGTCACTCGCGCGAACTTCACTATTGTTTTGGTTGTCAAATGCCAGCCGGTCTGTTTCGTACGTTCCGTTTCACCACTAAATGTTATGTTACGTGCAATATGTCGATGTCTGAAAACAATTGGAGGAATGGAATAAAAATTGTGAAGAACACTTATTTATATTTTCATATGTATATATATATGTTCATACAAATATGTCAGTTAAATATTTTCGATTTCGATAATTTTTTTCTAACTACATATATTTTTATGTGAAATTTCAATAATTTTTTCCCGATCTCGACGATTTTTTTTAAACGTTATTATTTTTTGATAACGTTACTTTCATGTTGGTCCTATATAAATTTTGTTCCAATTGGATTCGGTTTTTTTTGTAATACAGATAATAACTTATCTTATTACCAAGTACCTAGCTACATTATAATTATTTTTAAGTTTGCAGATAACTGGCGATACTTCACAAACGTCAATCGACCGAAATAGAACTGAGAAAAATAAGAAAATGCCTAATTAAATATGTTGGGTAGGTGATAATATTATTTTTAATCGCGATATCATTTATGGCCTGAATAAGATTCATTGTAAATATAATTTATTATTTAATATAAAAAGAATATCATAATATGTTTTGTCTATAGAAGCAACTAATAATAACAACAGCAATAGATATAAATGTTCTACCCTATCTACTAATATTGTAAAAGTAATGCGTTTGTAAAGATATTGTGGGTAGGTTGCAATTACCACTTAGGCACTTAGGTAACTTAGTATAAGTTACCTACTATATTAAATCCACTATCATCCACTTAGGCACTTTTAAATATTGATTTTCTTCAAGAATATTTTTTATATATAACATAAGTACACTATATGAATGTATGTACCTTACAAATACATAGAACGATATAGTCTAATGGTTTTTTACCTTGATATAGCCAAAGTCCTCGTTCGAAACTACCCGACGCAAATTTATATTTCGGCCTAACTCTGTGCTGATATTAACACCGACATCAAACCAATTAATCCGAAAGGCGACTGTGGGCTGTTTTTCGCCGTTGAATGAAATATGTATATCTAGCGAAATGTGGGTATAACTACCTCCATTAAGTGTTCAGAATGTCTGAGACTACCTCATTCGACATAACAATCGTGAAGAAGTTTTTTATAAATACAATTTTAGGTATAACGAGGGTCATTTCGACGTTAGGTACGAGTGTAGGGTCTTAAGTTTATTTTTTTATTTATTAGGAAAATAACTTATGTAAGATATATCTTAAATAAATATGTATAAACGGCCTCGGTGGTTTAGCGGTTTAGCACACCGCCTTACTTCCGATGGTCGCGGGTTCGATTCCTCGCACGGCGCAAACATTTGTATTCATGAGTAAGATTGTTTGTGCTGGTCTGGGTGATTTCTATATATTTGCGAAAAAAAAATCCATGTATTTATCAGTTATCTAGTACTCATAACACAAGCTTTAGGTATCTTAACTTGGGACTAGATGGCGCTCTATGAATTGTCCTGAGATTATTATTATTATAAACACATTTACTTTGTTTTCGTTGTACTACTTTGTTATTATTAGTAGATAAATTTATTATTGTATAGGGACAAACAAGCTTGCGGCTCACCTGATAGTAAGTGATTACCTCAGCCCATGAATAATAGTTATAAAAGTGCTTATAAGTAACGTGATAAAACATGACAACTCATTCCATTCAAATTGCTTTCGAATGGTCGTCGAGACGTGCTAAATCTATTTGAAAATTATCATCTGAGTTTTGAAATTAAATCACTCTTTTTAACTTTCCAGTCTACAGACTTTTTATGACCAATTTCTGTGATGTTTTTTATTTATGATGGATCATGCCGTGGTCAATATAAGCAAGAATAGTATAATACATAGCAGAATTCTGTCTGTCTGTCAGCTTTTTACGACTAAACGGCTAACAGATTAGCTAGATTGTAATGAAATTTGACATGTAAAAAGATTGTATGTACATGTATCACTATGATGGACATAGAACACCTTCTGGTGAAAATTTGGGCAGACGAAGTCTTGATTATTTAATAATAATATTATAGGATAATTTACACAAAGCTATCTATTTATAAATTAAGTAGAACTACCGAAAACTTTGTTTTATATTTTGCGACTTTTATACTATGTAATGATGATACTATCATTACATAGTATAAAACAAAGTCGCTTTCGCTGTCTTTCCGTCCCTATGTATGTTTAAATCTTTAAAACTACGCAACGGATTTTGAAGTGGTTTTTTTAATAGATAGAGTGATTCAAGAGGAAGGTTTATATATATCTCTAATAAAGATACCTAAATACAATTTCTTTTATTTATAAGTACATCGACAATATCCAGAGCAATCCAAACAATCATATTTATGATTACAAAACTTATTATCGTCAGAGAATGGAACCTATGACCATCAGAAGCAATGTAACCAATGTACCTTAGCATATTGGATTAATTTCTAATTTTATTGATTCAAACTGCTGTCTATTGTAGTTCTGTAGTAACTATGTGTATTTTTTTAGTGTATATATATACTTACTTAGTCCGTATTTACTTCCAGTATACTTACTATACTTGTAGGAACTCGCACAGCCTTGTTTATTTCTAAAAAAAAACAAAATCTTTAAAGAGGTTTTCTTTAAATATTTTGTTCATTTTATATTATGTTTTATCAGTATCACTATTATAGAGCGAATTCTGTTTATTGAATATAATTTCCAAAGCCACTGTATTTGTTTTTAAGAAATTATTTCTTTGTTGTTTAAGTACTTTATTTTACACGTTATATATCAAAAACTCATTATTCATATAATTTGGTGGGCCACTAGTCTTTCAAGAAAAATACTATTTAGTATTCGTCCTATAATAATTTGTAATAAATACTGAAATATATTTTTGACTTAATAATGTAATATGTTTGTAAAATATTTGGCCTCTTTTTGATAAAGAATAAGGTAAGGATATAAATAAGGTATGAAGAAATGAAAAAATGAGTTTTTTTTATCAGCCGCCCCAGGTAGAACTTCGCAACTTCACCCCTTGCACCGCACAGGTACATAAATCACAGTATCTAAACAATTAATAATTAACCACCCTTCAGTATAAAAATCACATTCACAAGCCACTCGGCTCTGCCTAGGCGCGGCTACTATTTATTACATATTTAATATTACCTTAAAATTTCCATACACATAATTAAGGAACAAAAACCAAAAAAAACTTTTCACAATAATTTCTAGTATCCGTATGAGATGGTCGTAAGTACAATTTGTATACCGAGCGCCGCTTCAAAGACTGCAAAGTGCATCGGTAATATTTAGGCGGAATTTCTATGCGCCGTGCATTCTCTGTAGCGGTGCGGCCGCCCCCCAACTCTACCAATACAATCACCATACAACCAATCGAGCTCAAAACAAACACGCGAATCGACTGGTCCCACACATCCGGGCGGACAGATGTTACTACAGGATACCATTAAAGAAAAAGTACACAGTAAAACCAACTATAACATGACTTAATCCCCTATTTTATAAAATATACACTTGCTATGTAAAAAAATTTAACCATTTCTTTTGGGCAGTAGTGGAAATGTGCCTTGACAACATTGTCTGCGATCTCGGTCTGCCTAAAATTATTTATAAAGCTGTCATTTCGTCCTATAAATTCCTTAATGCATTGGATATCAAAGCCTGTTACGACTTTGAGCTAACTAAATCACTATTAATTACAATGTTAGGTCGATTATTTATGTCAAGATTAACAAAAAAAAAATAAATGCAGGTACAACATTCGAGAATTCGTAACTCTCCAGTTAAGAAAACTAACCAATAAACAAGAAAAGCTTCTTTACACATCAAAAAAAAATAAGACGTACATGTAATCTATTTGCTATTATGTACATTTTATAACTAGTGGAAGATAAATCCGACATGTTCATTTAACACGTTTACTAGAATTGGTCGCAACCACTAATCTAACAAACTATATACTCCTACATAATATTTCTCACAAAAAATATGTCTTGCAACTAATTCGAGTATAAATCTAATTACCTATATTTACATAGCAAGGCACATTCCGCACACAAGTAAAGCCATCGATCATAGAAAACTGTTTGACCATGTGCTTGATAAAACATCAACTTCTATGTACAAAACTGGACAGAAGAATAAATAAGTGCATTGTTTTATTTCCGGCTTAAGTATAATCTTCCGTATAAAAGAAAATATAATAATTATAATGGTGTATAATGTTTGTATAATATGTTTTTAAACTATTTCTCTGACAATAAGGTTTGTTTTAATAATTTATTTTTCTGTCCGAGTTCATTTTACCGTAATACATCACTAGCTTACTGCATTAAAATATAATAAAGAAAATGCAAAATTTACTATTAATAGGTACAATGAGGAACTATGACTTGGTTATTTTTTTTTTTATTTCAGTCCTCTCGGACATAGAGTCCGAGTGTGCCACATTATCAAGAATTGGGTCAAATCTGCATTTTGTATAAATACAGGATCGAAACGAAAAATTATCTACATTACAAAGCAATTGAAGGTATCAAATTCACAATGGTATCAAAAATGCATAAATATCTTCATAAAACGACATATCGATAGAGTTTTGATCCAATACATATGATAATGTAATACCCCCTAACTGACGTTATAGATTTTGATGTTATTATCAAAATACACAGTCTATTTTTTTTATAATCAGACAATGTCACTGAGATTATTGAACTGTATGTCATCTGGGACTATACGGGGCGCTACTTTAAAATAAATGTGTTTTTTTATAATAGAATACATCTATTCATATGAGCGAATATTATAGTAATAATGTTCTATACATTTTTAACAATGTAACGATTAGATTTCTGAATAAACATGATGCATGTACGATCTAGCTTTAGTATGCAGTCGCGAATGTTTGAGTTCCCATACAAATTGTATCTCACGAAATAAGCATGGCAGTCATTGGAATGGTGCAAAATAACAAACTCTTATTCATTGTTATAAATGACCATAATGTAGACTTTCCGCCATAGCTTTAATTTTCACAAAATAACATAAGACCGAAGTACCTATATATACCGTAAGAAAATGAGTACGTTAGTTAAACATCGGTAACTCGCTGTCAATTCGTTACCACATACTAAAGCTAGTAATGACAAAATTAATTATGTATTTTAGTTACATATTACATTATATAATGTTTGAATGATATTGTTAAATGCATACATTATGTCAGTGCTATAGTTTCGTACATACGTAATATAAGCTATAGTAAATGTAAGTGGTCCAATGTATTTAACAATTCCAATGTTAAAATAGTGAAAAACGTTAATCGCGCCAAAGTGTAAAAGAAAAACATTAAAGTGTTAAAATTTACAAATAACAAAACACTATAAAACTGTAAGCGAGCTAACCTATGATGTACAAAGTCTAATGAAATCGTTTTTAACTTATAATAATATCATAATGTTCGGACATTAACATCACTACTTGCATTGCGATCACATTACAAAATGCGTCAAAACTTGTACGGGCCTAAAACATATACGTGGCCGAATAGCTGAACAGCTTCCCAACGGTATCGAACGTGTGAACTAGAAATTTCACTAAGCAGTTCATACTTACAGGGTTATTTAAAAAATACACAGATCCAAGATACGCAATTATATTAAATCTGTTGAATCTAAAGTAACTTTAAGAATAAACGTGAAACATATCTCCAACAAAGCAAGTAACAATTTAAAGTTAATAATTTTTTGGTTCGATATAAAATTTTGATAAGTTCTCCACAGGATAGAAAAGAACACATATCTATGAGCATGGTATTTTTTAAATAATAACTCTGACTAAACAACACACCTCACTATTATTTAGGTACGTGACACTATTATACAATAACTATTTTATCAATATTAGACGGGTCCAGTAAAACTGTTTCATTTACCGATTCGAAACAATAATACAACAAATTTCATATCTTCCACGATTTGTCAACACGGAGTAAATCTGTAACGCGCTGTCAACCATTTGTATACTTTATTGATAATTCAAAAAACATTTTAGAGGTATAAACCAGTCTACTAGTTTACGAAGCAGTCTGTAACTATTAAGACGTTTACTGAAGACCTAGGATTATTGTTAACAGCAGCTTTATGGCTCACTTTGGCACTGCAAAATATGTTTTGAGCAAATCAAACCCGCGGTTATTGCTACAATTTACATCACCCTCGGCACCTTCCAGAAGCAGAGTAAGCCCTAAAAGCTGATTTTTATCGAAATATAACAAACTTCCAACAATATATAGGCTCCACTCTAAATTTTAATATACGGCCATTAAATTAGAACAATGGAAATTGGTCTTCATGGCCGTATTACAAGGGAAATTATAAATTTTAACGTACTCTAGTACGTTGTGAAGCAACTTACATCCAAGTTACCAATGAATAAGTGTCACGTTGAGTAGACCCATGGATTTCCTGATAAGGAACAAAGCGCTAACCATACTATGTGGATCCTGGCGCTCAGTACGCGCGATAGCGAGCTGTCATCGCACGAAGCTTTTTCAGTTTCGTCAATAATTTAGTCTGCTGCTTCTTGAGGGAGTCTCTTTGTATCTCTTCATCCCGGAGTCTACGACAAAGTGAGGCGGCCTCGCGCAGTATTACCACTTTAGGTGCTCGCTCTTTATCTCTCGTTGCCGGTATCTGTTTTTTGAGTTCATCAAAGAGATTTTTGAGGCCGATTCGTCGTAGACGTTCCATATCGTTGTGTATCGAACGACGTTCGATCTCTGGTGTTTCGCCCTCTGAGTCAGTGTCTGTGTTGGAGCGGCGTCCGCGGCGACCGGGCCCTCTGCGCCGGCGTGGACCTGATGATGATGCTATACTGGCTGGTGGTATCAAACGTTTCCTTGCGACCGGTCGTGGAGATCGAGGCGTGATTGCGCTCGCCACCGTTTTTTGGAACATTTGCCGTTCCTGGGCGGATGGCGCGCGTGGCAATGAATCGGTGCGCATATGCGCAGCACCCGCCAAAGGCTGCTGCGTTAATCCGACCACGTCTATTTCCTCGTCTGAAACAATAGAGAGAGCATTTAGCACAATGTCCCACCGGTAATTAAAGTGAAAACATAAAATACCAGAGATTATCGAAGCTTTTACTAGCCCGCATTTACAGTTTCATTCCTCGCGCATACTTTCATTCATAACGCTCATTACGTTTGCATCACCATAAAAGGCGGGCGCCGATTGTCATGCCGCATCCTATCCTAATGTACAACTACGAAACTAGATCTAGTCGGGGGGCGAAGGCGAGATGCGACTGCAGTAGTCAGGTGCGCGGGATGGGGTAGGCGGTGTGCCGAAGGGGGGAGGGCGACGACCCCATCGTACTACCGCAGCGTCTGCCGCCATCGATCCAGACGCCTGACGTCACGGCGCGGTATTCGCGCCAAAACGAGAGCGCGTGCGCGACTCGGTGCCGCAGCGCAGCGTCCGCACTCAATGGCGGCCGGATTATCAACCGGTGGACACGCTTTCCGGCCTTCGCTGCAGCCATTTATTAAAGCAACGATTCGAAATTAACTGTCACGCGACTACCGCAGCTAGAGCTAGAAGTACATTCACACTGAAGTCGACGTAGCGGTCGTACATTTACGGCCGTATTAATCTCTTAACATAGCAGCACTATCGCTCAGTTCTGTTGCTAATTGAATTAAGCTGAAAAGAATGTGAGAGACGTACGGAGTTGCATGGCGTCAAACGTGACTGCCTCAACACGGGCGTCTATCATATTATGATCTCCCTGCTTTTTCTAGAACCGAGGCTACAGAAGCTCGGGGTTCCCAAATGTACAGGTTTATAGTAGGTAATCGGGCGACATTAGCAGAAATAACAATTTCATGTAATACAATCGCAGTGCGGATACGTGCTGGATTCCATTCGGTTTTACGACACAGCGTTCCAAATGCTGAGGGCCAGTGAACATTCTATGAATGAGTTAGGCGAAGCATCGAGTTCGCGATCGGATTGCAACTATTCCAGTGCGGATGTGGACGGCGGCCGCGCGCCATTTACGCCGTAGTGCATGTTTCGCGGAATCGGTTACACTATCCGGTTACACTAACAAATAATTATGTCAGCGGTTCATTGTAATTAAAGGTTATCGCCACGTTATACACTGTCTTACGTAGCCAGAATTCGCGAGAACTTCCTAAAACATCTCGGCGGTGTGCATCCGAAATAGAAACATGTAATGTGTAACTAGCGAGGTAGCGAGTCAGGGACGCGGCCGATAATATAAATTTCGTAACTACCTACGCAGTTGAAAGTGAAAAAAAAGTATCCATTAGATAGGTACAATCTATCTAAGCGACGATAAATTTATACACCAACGCGATCTTGTACCCGATTTCCGCATAGTTACGCGGTCGCTTATCGTGGTTACGCGTCGATCTAATTCTAGGTTCGACGCTTGTCATCGAACACGCCTCTTGCGTCTAAATGTATCTGTAGGGCTGTCGATAATATATTATTTAATACTCAATAAAAAAAATATATCCCGTGATATATAAATGTAAAATCGATCCTAGTTGGCACAACCCTAGAGAACGAATGTGTGTTGGAGTCGATTTCCAAGCTACGATTTTCTCCCCGGCGCCAACGCGATTAACTGACAGTCACCAGAGTATTTGTTTCAGCTCTGGGTGTAAGCGATACGGTATTGTCGCGGTGCGCCGCCGGTCTCCGGTCTAGTGCATATCTATTATATCGCCATAGCTCTAGATGCGATTCTTAGATCCGCTGTTCCAATTTTAAACCATACCACAGATAATCCGCTTTTTATTGACGATGCCGGCGTCTTTGCTCAGAAAAATCGGCTCTCACCGGCCAGTATCTTAACAGCGTTTTCCGTCACGGATCGATAATATTTTACGTTAATAACTTGAGAATATTGGATGAACCTTTTACTCCTAAGTGATATCTTCTACATAGAAGGAAATAATTTGCATCTCAAATAAATTTAATACGACAGGAATACTAATCACTATAGCTGAATCCTTATCGGCAAAATTCATAAACGTTCATTAAGGATGACATTATTCTTTATTAGTTTCATACAACGTTACATAAGAAACCTATACAGCCAAGTGCCTCAATTTTCCCGCTTCACCGAAATAATAAAACGGCAGGTGTCAAAAAAATATAAATAAGAGTTTGATTTGAAAATGGAACGGCTACAATGGTGTCGTCAAGTGTGACCTGGTAGAAGGCGGCACGGCTGGCTGGCCACGGCTTCGAGGCCAAGTTCACTGGCATTTGAGCGCGATAATTAAAAATTATCGTGACGCGCACGCGGCGCACGCCATTGCATACAGGGTGATCAACTTTGGATCAACAACACAAAAAAGCTTATTATCTTGGTACATTGCATTAACGAGGCATTAACCAATTCAAAATGAGGATCATGGTGTTTAGTTCCTTTAGTAAAACCACATCTATATACATATACTACATTTATTCGCGCGATTTCATATAATTATTATATGAAAATGTCCACAAATATTAAAAAAACTTTTTATAATAAAGCGAATAATTACATTTATATACTTTACTACAAGTCCCTGTTTAAAAAAGAATTAAATCGTATTATATAAAATATATATATTTAATTTGTTACATATATGTTGTGAAATAATTAATGAAACTATAAATCAAGTTTGTTTTGGAACTTTAACTCTTGGCATAAATATAATCAAAACTTTTGTTGAAACTAATTCAACATCAACCCGTACATACTTATGAATATAGGCGATACTAATTAGCTAGAATGCAGGCCGCGCCAGTTCTATAAAGTGCTTAATAATTTTTAGAGTAAACTTTCTCATTATCCCACGGAACCACACGGAAATCGCTCAGCCTTTACATATTTTAATTATTCTTTTTTATAATTTCTTTGATAAGACGTTCCGTTTCGCGGAATTCCGGGAACGAATCCTGCTTGCTAGAGCCCTACAATTTTAATATTATCTGCTTATGAAATTATTACGAAAATCATTATTAAAAATTCAAAATTAGAATACATATAGAACGTAAGTAAGTAGTACACAATGAATGGAATTCCAAATACAAAAAACATTTTTTTTAATACGTAAATTACGAATTTAGAAGTTTGTCTATAGATTTGGATTTTTATGAATTAGTTACGAAAGTAAAATCGAATCATGGATATTACTGAATCGGCACACTATCGACCGTTATTTCTGTGTTGTTACGCAACACCGGTCATCTGGTTTTAGGGAAGCACTCGAGGTTCGCGCACTTCTAAAATAGATATAAATAAGGCGGGGTGTGATGTGATGACTGTCGATCGTACCAAAAACGACCTTGGTCGAGTACGCGCGGAAGTTCACGGCCGCTCACATGCTATAATGGAAACGTGACGCAATATTTTTTTTAATAGCCATTAATAAATAGGAGCTCGGACATTATTCGAGATATACAGCATACAGCCGAGTATAAGGTAAAGGTACTTCTCTCGCTTTTTCTTACGTCAGTGTCAGCTCTAAATATTTAAGGTTTGAGGTAAATGGATTTATCTTTCATTTTTCTGTGATAACATATCTTATAGAATTCAGACGGGGTAGTCAGTATATCTCCTACAAAAGTCCAGCAACAGTTGACTGAAACTCACGCTCTTTTTGATCTGTAAGTCCGGCTAGTAAACCACTCAACCACGACACTGTCCGCTCGTATTAAATTAACAATAAAGTTGAATTAATAATATTATTTATATCATTTTAGGTACTTTATCTCTTAAAAATGTGGCATAACTGGAGTGCTTGATGAAATAATTTAATCCGGAACAATATATTAATATATGTTAATTATTGCGTCATTAGACTTCATTATGCTAGTTTTAGGGCCGACACGCCCATAAACCCGATATACGAAATCCGGTACATCATTATTTTTTTTTAATTTATGCATAACGCAATGGAAACTGCCAATGTTAACGCGGACAGCCATATGTTATCATTCAATTAAATTGGGTACTCCTGAATCCGACCCGAATGATTGGAGAGATCAAGGAATAATGTCGGTTATCTTGTTGCGATGCTGACAAATTATTATTCGCAACTTGGCGTTACTACTGATAAGACTGTGCAAATTTATATTAGGGTATCACGTTGTAGGTATTTAATGTTATCTTTGAATTGATATTTGACGAAATATGCGAAGACTAAGACACTTATTGATGGGCATGCGAATGATTCAACCATGTTAATTGTTGAATGTTTATCTAATATTTTAGAACGATAATGAAACGCTAATTTGTTGCATAAATAAATTTCCTATACATCCTTATTTTTTAAAATTTGAAATTGGAACGCATTAGAGTTGTAAATTAAAAAGAAATTTTGAATAGCATTCGAATTTCAATCGTTTAAAAAACGAATCGATTAGCGTTTTCCATAGATTAAGCCGTTGCCAATTGCTAGATTGTTTAAATATCTAATGCATATTTCTACTGCGATAACACCAAGGCCATATCCAATACTCTCAATTATTTTATATCTTCTCACAATATCAAATGTGACGTACAGATAAAAATACGATAGAGATATTAGTAGGGACTATCAAATAAATGTGTTACTAGGTTATGTGATCTGCTAGCGTAAATGACGTCATTACACATTTTATAGTGATGTGACTCAATAAACATATTACAATTACTTGTAATTAAATTAACTTATCTCCGTATATTAAATAGCTTATTTTTCAGATAGAAGATAAGGGATCGACGACGATTATACTAGTAACTAAATTACATTCTGAAAAAGAGAAGACTTATGTCAGTCGTCTTATGACTGCATTCAGAATGTGCTAAATCGCAAATAAAACAAGTAACCCCACATCGCGTTCATTGTATAATAATCGTAAATTGCATTCGATATTTAATCTAATAATTATTCGATACGCACCGTGAAAAAATGGGGTTTAATACCTACACGTACGTGTTGCAATAAAATTATGTGGTTCCATATAAAATTATGGGCTGTTCAATTTATAATGCCTCTCTCAACTGAGACCTGAATTAAACCTGCCGAGGTGGGCTTGTCATAAATACCAACTTTAACTAAAGTGATTTTAAGAGACGCTTAAATGTAGGCTAGGCCGGCTAATTCAACAGCCACTTTATTTGGGTCACCACAGCCAGTATCAAGTACTCGTATCAAGCAATACCGCGCAAATTGCTTTTACTACGCTAAGTCGATGTATTGCGATTTTTGTTGCTCTCGATTACAGATGATAAAATGTATCCAACGATATATTTGCTATGCCAACTTATTTTACGCTTAAATAGGCGGCTTAAGGGTCAGTAGTGTCTTCTAAAGTAATAGCAATACAATTAGTAGACAATGTAGTAGTAGAGACGTGACCTAGGTGGATTAACGGTTTTACTTTTGTTGGTTGCTATAGTTTGTATTTTCGCACGATACAAATATTTGTATTCTTGTTTGTATTGGTCTGGGTGTTTTCAATATGTATTATGTATAAATATATATATTTCGATCAGTTTTTTTAGTACCAGAAGCATAAGTTCGGCTTAGGTGGACTAGATGGCGCTGTTTGAATGGTTATTATTATTATTTTTTAGTAGATGTACTTATTCTCCACGCAGTTTCTTCTAGAAACCACCATGGTTAATTTCTATTAAACATCACTGTATAAGTGACCTTACTAGGATCATTCGCTGCTGCCCCGCTAGCGTATACCATTAATGCAAGCAGGAACACTATTTCATCATCCAGAAAAAGAAATTGTCATATCAAAAGTATTTCTTTCACAAATAACTCTATTTACTTTGTATTACCAATTACCAAACATTACATTGATTGTTGGTTATTAATATTAAAAGCCCCATAAGTCACGTCAATCAATGCCGCGAAAAAACTTGGTCAGAAATTGGATCGTAATTCCCAATAGCGGTTGGAACTTTATTAACGCTAGCGTAAGGATTAAAATGGCTAATCTTGAATGGCATACTTACATTTACAGCCTTGGCTTACTGGACGGGTTTAGGACAACCGGCTAACCGGATCTAAGCGCCCTATAATGAGTTAATAGGAATCTAAATTCCGAACCATTGCCCTACTTCCAGATGTGGTTTTAAAAAAGCCATATATCACGGCCCAGCTACCTGTCTAACGATATATAGATAATGTGCGTACCAAATTCGCCTAGCAACGTTATCATGTACTAAATTTGATAATTACCTACCTAACCGGTTTCAACTCACAGCTTTAAACTTAACATCGATATTCAATACGTCGTATGAAAAATTTATTTTAAAATATTTTATTGCTGTATCTACACTAATGTTAGGTACGAATAGAATGCGAATTTTGTGTGTTTGTATGTGTAATTTAAAGTCCGAAACTAGTGTACCGATCTGAAAATTCGCTATTTCAAATGTACTTTAGGTATATTGTTTAAAATAGGCATTCCATAATTTTTCTTATAAAGTGCACTAATAAGAGTTTTTTTAGTAATCGTTTATTAAGTGTTAAGTGTGAATTAGATAGCGATACTAAATAATTGAGACTGCTAATAATTATAATTAATTAACTAACTAGTCATGAATTAGTAATGATTACTCTAATTATACTACCATAGATAATATAATATTGTAAATTCAATTAAAATATAGTTATTATGGTGTCTATTTATTAAATTACTTTTAATAACTATAAATGACATAGTCATGAATCATGATGGGAAATTCGCAGCTCATAGTGATGTGACATGATTTATCCGAAACCGGTATGTAATGTAACCAATGATTTTACAGAGTAATATAGAATTCCGTAGTAAATGTAGGCGATAAAAAGACAATACAAATAAGATATTGTAAATATCCTGCTAATGTTGTGCGAAAACTGACAAGTTTGTCTGTTTACGCGGTACACTCGATAATGATAAAGGCGCGCAAACATTGGCGCAAGCGCAATAAATTTTTGGCGGGTTCGACGTATTCTAGTGATGTGCATTATACTCGACTCATCTACACGTACTAGACTAGTTAAAAATCGATTTCGATTAAATATTATTGAAACAGGTCGCCTGTGACATTTATCTACGTCGATAAAATTAAAAATTCATTAAGTTTTGAATCGACTAGTTCTCAATCACGATTATTGAGAGGCTGTCTATCATATTGTCATCCGGTCGGGCTAGACATGGGAGCACCGTGTACCAAACCGGTCTGGCAAGCCAAGTGAGCTCTACTTCAATGAGATTCCATTTCAATCCGCTGTATTACACGAATAACGGACTATACAAGTCGAGATTGGCTCGGCAACAGTAAACTTATTCCATTGTTTTTTTATTTAAGCAGACCAGTACAATGATAAACGATATAAATTTATTTTACGACGTATTTAGTTTAGTTGTACAGAATGCGCAACAAGTGGAACTGTAAATAAACTACAATCGTACGAACACATGCCCATCACGACCTTACCCACTGTTATCGACGATAACTAAATTGCTGTTATAAATAATTACGTAACTTTGTACTTGCATTGTAGTACCATGCTATCCTTTTAAAGGTCGACCGTACATATTTCAATACACCATCGTACTACATTAGGCTATGCTAAAAATGAATCTACTTATGAATAGAATTTGATGATTAATATTCTATAGTACAGTTTATTAGGCTTGTTGTCCGCCATTTTTATTACCCCAAGCTATACAGCAAACATAGGAGCGCTGTCTGTACATATATGTCATCGGCGGGAAACTGAACTCGCGGGTAAAGGATCCACCAAGGTCGAGAGTTCGGGACGTCCCGGTCGACGTACTAGCGACCTTAGTTCTGACCTGAACCCAGCTTAGAATCTAACATGCAAGTGTGGGACATTAATCCCGTTTCAATTAGATACTTGTCAATACGGTAGGATGATCCGGCAAGTGCAAAGGTTGCGCAATCTGACATTAAGGAAGGTTGAGGCGTTCAAGGTCGCGATAGACGAAGGTTCCGGAAGAGCAGAGTCGCGGGTGCGTCTAGACGCAGTGGGGGACGCGGTTAGCGGTCGATACGCGCAGTTTCCCGCGCTCGCGAACAGCGCCTGCGTCCTCGCGGCATTCCCGGTCAACCTAACTTGGCGCCTATTTGAAGAAATTAATAATAGGTACCTATCTTACATTTTTCTTCACATAGCCGCCCACAAACTAATATTTAAGTACTACCATAACGTAACAACAAATCTAAACGCATTACTAATAGTAATAATAATTTACTAAAAATTATTAATTAATTTAAGATTGGCTTTATACTCATCTAATAAAGACTACAGAATATGACGTATAGCGACATAGAATCGGTGTATTTACTTAGTTAAAAGAAAATGCAAGTGCAACATCGGTAGAAAATTGTTCGCGAAGGCATATGAAACTGAAATAGAAATAAAATAGGAGAACTGACGGAAACCGTGGATGCGCTTTTCGCAAAACCAGTCAATGAATTTTTTTATGTTCGGAAAGAAGGTAAGCTTTGGAGTTTGGTCTACTAATTTGAAAATCAAATGTAACTTACGTACCGTACGTATATTTCTACCTCATATTTATTACCCGCCAAGCGTACATGTTTAAAGAAATAGTTGTAATAAATGAACGTAACAAATAACTGAAATAAGTATTTCTTAAACAGATAAGTTTACTACAATTAAAATGTCTATATAATCACATAATTAAAACGTTACCCAATATTTAAACATATTTTACAGAGCCAATAATATTATTTTTAAATAAAAATCTGAAATAACTGTAGTAAAGTTATCTATTTTAGAAGACATGTAAGAGATTAGTAGAAAAATAAAAATTAAAGGTACATACCTGATTCACACGAGTCAGATGGTGTCTGGACTCCCAAGTTGTCGAAGTTTTGTCTTGCCGCTGTATACGAATGATCGGCTGCAACAACTACAGCAGAGTCTCTCAACAATCTGAGCGCTGTACCCGCTACGTCTACTGCATGCCGGAACTGTGGTGGCTCATCGCCGTCTAAAGATGGTGGAGTCTCAGGCCTGGGGGGCGATGCCTCCCGTCGTCGCAGTAAGCTTTGCCCAGGTGCGGCAATTGTTTGATCAGTTGGCACAAATGTATTGCCAGGATGACCAGAATCAATGCACGAGCCAGCCCACATGCAATCATGGTGTACAATATTTTCTTTGTGTGTGTCTTCTGATGATTCTGTTATTCTCCAGTCTGGTTCATTGTCTGATTGCATTTCAGGATAATTGACAGGTCGTTCTAAATCCATTTCTGCTTCGTATTGTATCTGAGTCCAAAACTCGGAAGTTTGTGCGTACTCCATAGTCATCTCGTCCATTGTTTCCCATGTGTCGAATTGAAGAATCGGAGCGTCCATTGGCACCGCCATTTTATATGTACATATAACTAAAGACTAACTAGTTTTAAAGCTAATACGAACTTGTCGATATCACAGGACCCTATTATCACAGGGACGATGCGCGCGGTGGATTCTACGCACACCGTCTGAAACAACAGAAATAAAAAGTTGTAATGATTTCATAAACTTCACAAAGTTCAAATAAGTCTAATTTCTATTTATTTAAAATTAAATAATTTTATGTAACTCAATTCAGAGTAGCTAATCACCTAAGTATATTTGCTTCTGTTTGAATATATAAAACTTATTGAAGTCACTTGTTCTTAAAATTCACTATATTCAAACACTATCTTAAAATGTACTAAGTCACTTTCTAGCAGTAGATTATTAAAATAAAACGAAGATTTTAAACTTTTCCAATACAAGGGGTGTTGACCCCTTGTATTTACAAACAAACGACAACTGTACACTACTGAGTGTGAAGTAGGAAGTGTCTACCTCGAAGCTCAAAACTAGACTGAAGTCTGGATGGGAAGTCGAACAGTTTTAAAGAGTGCGTTGGCCTTGGGCCCTATCCTACTTTTGTCTAATAACAATTAGTCATTGTCCTGTCAGCCACCCCCGCAACTTTTTTCTCGATTTAGTTTACCTGAACATGAATTGGGTACATCCCTATTTCGGCGAATTTTTTGTTCGCACTGGGTCCAGGTATGATTTCCGCAAAAACTGTTTTTGTTTACGAGCGCAGAATGGCGCGAAATGACTGTTTACTAATAAAGCAATGGTACGAGCCATTTTCCCGCTATTTAGACGGTTCAGAGGAATCAATGTAATTTTTTAAATGTATTTTTTTATTATTCGGATATTCAAAACCACAGTCCATTTTTATGAGTCAATTATGAAGTCGATAGTCGACTAAATTATAATTACATATATGTATATATATACACATAAATACATGCAAATTTTAAATAATCAAGAAATATAAAACACTTTTTTATACATTTAATTATGTAAAATTAATTTTTACGAATATCATAGAATTTAAATAAAATTAGCCAGTCAATAAATAAACGAAACTAAATTTAAATAGTTTCCGAATCTACTCATATTTTATATTTGTAAGTAAGTATGAACTATTTTACCTGGCGTCTATTTAGGTCTAATGAATTAGCAAAACTGTTTTTGTTCAAACATCGCAAGAAAATGTAGGTAGGTAGTAATACCTAGAAACCAACAGTTTTTTTTATATTATTTTATATCTAAATAGTTTAGGTAATTTATACACATTTTCAAATCATATTTTTATGGCTACAACATTGGAGCTTTTATATATATTTTTTTATATTTTTAAAAATCGTATCACATTATTTATTTCATAAGAAATTTACTTTACAAAAAATAAATGGATTAGATAGAACGTACAAAATTATATCGAATCATTTATTTTTACACAATTAATTACAATTGGGCACAACTTGATTACAATAATTAAAAATATTTTATGATTTATTTAGATGGTAAAAATTGTTACCAACCCAGTTTCAACAACAGATAGTCATAATTAGAAGAATTCTGTATGAGTAATGATTAATTCACAAATTTATTTTTATATAAAAAAAATATTGTGCAAGAGACGGCAATTCGTATTTTAAATAGATACAAACATCAGAACATCACTATTCGTGGGTGCTAAGTACAATATGTATATATCTATACACACCTACATAGTTCGTAAGTTCATATCTTTATTTAAGAAGTACCCACTCGTGATATTTCGCGCGTTTTATTATTTAAGTAATTATTCATTTCGTGTTAGCGAACTGATTGATTTGGTGATAAGGTGAGGAATTTGGGTGCTGCCAATTCATAGAAATGTACACTGGGCCCAAGTACGGTATAAACCGGCAACGCCCCGCCATAGTAACTACAAAATACCTAGATGTGTATCTAAGTACCCGCACATTATTACCGCCTACTTCGCGCCCTACACAGTTACATCGTCTTATGAATTAAATAATATTACTTACCAAAAAGTTTGTGCAAAATCCGGCCGCAGCCGGCGAATTACACAATTTTACACAAGATTCTTCAGAATCTCCGATAAAGTTTTTTCCGTACACACTGCGTAACACTCACTAAGAATATGCGATCGGTTATACAGTGTAAATTATTAAATACGCTTCTTCCGAGACCTCCGATTGAGTTTGTCAAACACTGAAACATTATTCGGGAGCCGGCCGGTTCGAAGTTTTGCCGCGCGTGCGTTTCGTGTGACGCCGTAGACACGACTGAACTGACGCGACTGTCTGTACTCCGAGTACTTCTGTAGCGGTCGCCGGCTCGCGGTCGCGACCAGCCATCAGGGATCGGGCCCCCCCCCGCGCCCGCGTCTGCCGCGCCCGGCTAATTCTATGTTCACGTCATTCACCAAAACTCTGAAAATACAACTTGTACGCCGTGTAACTTACGATTATCCTACCGTAATTGCTAATACTTATATGTATACTGTGTCTTTTTTAAGCAAATTGTTGTTTTAGCGGTGAAAAATTCGATTTTGGCCGGGCGGCGGCGGCGTCTCGGGGACGCGGGCGCGCGGGGTCTTTCAAGGAAGCAGACCAAGCATCGGCATTCAACGTCACGACATGACAGGTCGATGTGTGAGTGCCGTTGTCTGTGTGTATGCTTGTGGGAGGAAAATCGAGGAGGTAGTGTGCGGAACAAGAAACCTAGCTACCAATGTATAACTTCGCGATTCACTCACTCATTCGTCGGCCCTCCGATGGCTCGAACGTGGCGGTTTTTGTCAGCTGCGCGGCTGCCGATATCGGAACGAAGCTAGTCAGTCGACATTCCAAAGGCAGCAAGCAACTTATGGCGCGAAGCAAAAATGCCTGTACGATTTGGATATATAGTCTTGTATTATTTATTGACTCTTCTTAGCTATTTGCAAGGGGCAATATATTAGCATTTGTGAGGTCCGATGTATACGTAATACATACAAGTATAACATAGGCGGGAAAAAAATTATAGGACAGGTTATGTAACAGAAATAACCGCCTTCTCCAGTAATGCATAAAGTATATATTCCTACAACCTCGCCCTTCCAAGATACTTATGGTACTTTAATTCTTAGGTAGTATTTCGTTCGAAAACGAGAAACAGTACACCTTCACGACTTTTTTCGCAAATTAGGTGGACTAAGGCATTATCAGACTGTATATGTGAACTCAACATAACAAGGGACTAATCTAACGCCGCGCCGACTTATAACTGTTTGGTTTGTTATCGGCGTTACCGTCACCAGAGAACTAGTTAGAAATAATACATATTGCACATAGTTTTTTTTGTGGAGACGAAATTTGAACTTATGACCGTTCCGTCTAAATCGTGATAGTAAACTACTGAGCTTATGACATTCCCAACCGTTATCTATTATGATAAAGAATTAAAGCTTCTTTGTTTGGATGTTAAGTGTAATCTCCGGTACGACTGATCAGATTTTGAAAATTCTTTCAATGTGGGATAGCTCATATACCATAGAGAAAGGCTATTATAGGCTATATAACGTAATGCTACTAACAATAGGAGTGCGGCAGAAATGATAAACGTAGCAAAAACAGAGAAAATGTGACTCCGAAAATACGCGAGTCAATAAGTCTAAATATAAAATACATAATAAACAAAAAAAAAGTTACTTAAATAAATAAACTATGCTAGAATTATTGTATGTCAGACTCCATATTCTACAATCAGCTTCTCATTTGGGCCGTTATGCGTGTAGGCAAAATTAGCTTATGTGACGTAGATTTAATAGAACTAGAAGTATTTAATAATAATAATTATGATAAATAAAAAAAAATCTATTGCGAAATATGCATCAATGACTGCCGAAGATTAACTAGTGCAGGGATGAGCAACACGCGGCCCGCAGGCCGCTTGCGACCCATTAAACATGTTGATGCAGTCCGCCAAGCATTTCTAAATTTAATTTAATTTTTCTACTTTCTCCTATCAATATATTATTATAAAATTAATTATAATAAAACGGTAGTACATACTGAAGAGAAACAATTTTTTGTGACGAGTTACTCACTTGTCGCCGGCTTTTCAAACATGTAATACGAACGTTTGCATTAAAATTTGTATAGAAAATTTTTACTTTTCTAAATTTCATATACATTTTTTTATTATAAATTTAATTATTAAAAGTTTATTTATTATAATAAATATATTTCAAAGGTGACTGACATAGTGATCAATCAAAGATCAGCCCAAGCACAGTCCAGTGGGTTCAGTCCAGTGGATCGGTCTGAAATTTGGCATGCAGGTAGATGTTATGACGTAGGCTAAGAAAGGATTTTGATAAGTTCCACCCCTAACGGGATAAATTAACGCGAGCGAAGCCGCGTGCAAAAGCTAGTTATAAATAAAGTTTTGTACATCATTAATAGGTACTACATTAAGTGCGGCCCGCTAAAAGTTTTAAAATTTAATTCGGCCCGTTGATTAGAAAGGTTGATCACCCCTGAACTAGGGTATCGGAGTCAAACGCTGATTAGATAGACAGTTAATCTATTGGTTATTAAGACGATTTACCCAAACTAGGATAATAGATATTAAGCCATTCTAATTTCCTTAAAAAATACGTACCAGCTTGTCTGTAAGACATTGCTTTAAACGATGAGGCCGCCGCCTTCTGTTTAGCATCTAATATGTATATAAAATTCTCGTATCACAATGTTACCATACTCCTCCGAAATGGCTTGACCGATTTTTATGAAATTTTATATTCATATTCAATAAAACTGAAAATCTATATATCTATATCTATATATTTTTCATACCCCTCCCTACGTGATAAGGGTTGTTCATCCCTAACATTTTTTTATTTTTAGGACAAAATTTTTTATCCTAAAAATAAAATACATAAAACCTTAGAAAATACATACAACCCTAAATTTTCATACCTCTACCACCAACCCCTATTTTTTAAAAGTTATATTGTATCTAAATTTGTATGGCAAAACGTTTGCCGGGACAGCTAGTATTATATATATACGAGTATATGATATTATAATAAGTCCTAAGTCACCCCTCGGGTAGGTATTATGCCGTTTGCAGCCCACCTAAAATAGCGACCCCACATTCCCATGATAAAGTACATTGACCCCGTGCATTCTTGGCTGCGTAAACGCAGAAATAAAACCCACTGACTGCGCCACACTTAATGGGAAGTCATTCTTATGGGAGTCGTAAAGATGGCCGGTTTCCATTACTTGTATGTGTACATTTCTCTTATGAGTGTATTGATATTAATCATAGTTATAGTAATAGCAACGCGGTTACCTGCCCGGTATTACACCTAAACCATCGTGAGTTTAAATCCGACACGAAAAAAACTTTGGTGTTTTTTATATATGTCCGACTGACTCTAGGTTGAAAACAACACCAATAACAAATTAAAAATCAATCTTAAAAATTAGGTATATATGTGGGCACCTCAACTGTTGCGAAGATTATGACGTCGACAATTGGACAATACCTCTGACTACCCTATCTGGGATAACGGCCGTGATATTTATTATTATACATAATATATTATTATCCTGGTAAGATAATGTTATAAGCCTTGAACTGCAGTTTCTGATCTTCAAATTCAAATTCAAATTCAAAAATCATTTATTCATGTAGGACATTTTAGCCGCTTATGAAAGTCAAGTTTTTACATTATATTTTTTTTTCCTACCGTCCAGTTCGGTATATAGATCCAATTGAGAAGAACTGGCAAGAAACACAATTGAATTCCTTTTTTTTAAAAGCCAATTTATTTACAATGCGTAAGTATTTATATAGATGTCTATGTCTAACATTAAATGAAAATCCCGAACATGAAAACTATTGCGATGCACGCTCGTCATTCAAGTAATCGTTTAGTGAGTAATAGGTTGCTCAGTAAATATGATTTAACAAATACCCATATACATATGGTAACAGTACTGTATAAGGTAACCATTTTGAAGGGGTTTAAGGAGGCGCTATACATAGCTTCTATATGAAGTACACAAATACCTATACTCTTGTGTTACGAACCTAACAACACATAAACATACAAACAATACGAAATGTATATACATATATATTTTATTGTTAGTAATAATAAGAAACCGGTGCATCTGATGACCTCAGTTGTCTAGCTGTTTAGCATACCGCTTTACGTTCGATGGTCGCGGGTTCGATTCCTCGCATGGTATAAACATTTTTATTTATGAGTATATCATAAATATATAAAATGTATCATCATCATCATCTGCTTTTTTTTATTTGTGGGCGGCGTAATAAGTAACAAGAAACATTTTTTTTGTAATCTGCTAATGTTAATTAGCAGATTACAAAAAAAAATGTATCTATGTATTTATATTGTATTTATAGTTGTTTATACCCATAACATAAGCTTTGCTTACTTTGGGACTAGCTGGCGTTGTGTGAATTGTCCTGAGATATTATTATTGTTAATATCTTGAATGAATAAATAGAAATATTTCGATTACTAATTAATTCTAAGTAGCGCACTTAAGAATAAAGTATTTTAATGAGTTTAATATGTAGTAATTACATTACCAAATGATATATTATAATTACTATAGAAATAAACATGTTGATTAATGACTTTGTAATAATATAACAAAGTTCCATAGACAAAAAGTTAACTCAGTTTTGTAGGTAAGCTATTAACCTTAGAGCTATTTGCAGTGAAAGAATAATTTTCAATTGGTTCTCTATTTTTTAGTAATATGCAAACAATCTGACGGCCTATCTGATCGTCAGCGGTAACTGTCGCCTATATACATGAACTGTACTATGGACATCACGTTATCATGCGACACCCACAATAGCATTGTACAACTAAGAACCAATTAATAAGCTTAAAAAAATATATATGATGACTAAAATATATTATTAAAAGGGGTCCCTTTAGGCAACGTTCCGAAGATACTGGCAGCGTTCCCTCTTTAAATAGCTAGGCTAATTCTTTGTCCAAGGTAGCTGCATGTGTTGCCATTCCAAGAACTAAGCCTTTTCATTACATAGTATAAAATAAAGTCGCTGTCGCTGTCTGTCCATACCTATGTATGCTTAAATCTTTAAAACTACGCACCGGATTTTGAAGCAGTTTTTTTTTAATATATAGAGTGATTCTAGAGGAAGGTTTATATATATATATATATATATATATATAATACCCGAGCGGGTAGCTAATATCCTATAATTTCATTCATTCCAGCAACATAGATCACTAGCTGAC